GAGAGAAATCTTCTGCATCCGTGGATATTTTATTGCCCTTGTCTAGCTTGGATTAATACTTAGTCTACAGGCACACACCTGATCATCTACATTTGCTCTCTTACAACACTAAACTATGTTTTCTACCTTTATCTTGCATCTACCTACCACTTCAGCATTTTATTAAAAATAAAAATAATAATAATAATAAAGGGAGAAATGTGGGATCCACATATAAATCAAGTATAAAAATCAAACGAATATTCATATTTGACCTGATTGTTTATAGTTCATAATGCGTGATCAAAACCGAAAGTTTCTGTGATGAATGCCCTTGTACTGTTCACCATGTAAGAATTTATTCATTATGTAAGAATTCGTTCACCATGTAAGAACTTGTTCGTTATGCTTCAGAAGACTGGAGACTGATGAGAGTTAGGCTTGGGGTGGATTAATGATTGTGCATTGAGCATTGACCCCCCTATACAGAATTTTATTGTTGTTAACAACCATTTGATCAATAAATATGAGAGATGCCCTCTCAAAAAAAAAAATGCTATGGATGTGCTTGACATACTGGGACAGCTTCTGCATCCTGGACAGTTTCTGCATACAGAACATCTTTCTCTTTCTGCCACCTCATGACTCAGTTTACCCGCTGACCCTTCTGCCTTTACTGTCTTCTCAGGTCAAATTTTCTCTGTGCTAACCTGACCTATGTTGCATTATTTCTCACTTCTTAGTCTATTAGTAGAGCAAGATATCCCATTTCAGCATTATACTGCCATTTGGAGGCAGATAACACTTTGCTGAGAAAGCTATCTCGTGCATTATAGGATAGCAGAGTAGCTTCCCTGGTTTCCCCCCACTAGACACAAGTAACATGACCATCACTCCAAGATGTGACAGCTAAAGCCTTTCAGATATTGTCAAATGTCCCCAGTGGGACAAAATCACCCCTGCTTGAGAACTACTATTTTAGGAGAACTGGTGTAGATAATATTATGTTCAGTTTGAATATATGCCTTGTATGGGACTTTATTCAGAGGTGATGCTCAATAAATATTTGTAAAGTGAATGCAGAGTAAGATGGCATTTTATTACTGCAGTACATTGCTAGAATAATAAACATGTTACTCATAAATTGAACTCTCAGTTTCAGTCTAGGACTTAAGAATACATCTAAATCTATGTTGGATTTGTTTATTTTCCAATATTTGGAATAGAAAGAGGAAAGAAGACAGTGTTTTTCCACATTGACAGGTCTCCTGGGAACTCTGTGGGTTCATAAATTTCTAGTGGGACTCAATTCATTGCAGTTTTCTTTCCTTTCTTTTTGTTTTTTAACTACTAAAGAAAAATGACATCTAAATATATTCTATAAAAAGAAAAAAGAAGGGGGAAAGCAAGGTGACAATGGGAGAGAAAGGAGAAAGCAAAACAGAAAGATGAAAGAAAGAATAAATGAGCAAGATACAGCAGACTTTTTATACTTATGAACCCATTCATGAAAAAGCTGAAATAAAATATTTTAAAGGAGAGTATATCTTTAAATTTGAAGATGGTAAAAATTAATTTGATTAATTGTCACTGTTTTTTCCTTATGTTTAATATTACAGTTAATTTTCAGAGCTACACAAGGAAGACAAACAGAAAAGGTGTGAGAAAGAAAATTTAACAAATGAAAGTGAAAGAAGAAAATGGAGTAAGGGAAGACTTTATGAGAATAAAGCATTCATATTGTACTTCTTTTGAACAGCACACTTAGATTACTAGAGGGTCCCAAGTCCTTTACACATGTTACAGACTCATTAAATTGCACGTGAATAATGATTCAGTAGTTCTAATAATTTCCCTGTAGAGTATGAGTTAGAAATCAAGGCAACAAAAAATATCACTTCGTGGTTTACTGATCATAAAGGAAATGAAGCACATAAAATTTTTTCTAAATAATGCTTCTTGTTTATAAGTCAAATTTTGTATTCCTAACTTAAGAAATCATGAGAGGAAAAGGTCAAATAATGGAGAAATATTTATTCACGGTGTATGGACTTTATCATCAAGAAGATATACTAATAGTTAAAACCACAGAATCTAGATCTAGACCAGCTGGATTAGAATCTGGCTCACCACTTCCCAGCAATGTGACCCTGGATTTAGGCTTCCCCACAAGCAGAACCTGAGACAAGCCTTCAAGGACAAATGGCCCAGCTTGGAAGGGACCCCTCTGAGGGGCACTGAGCTCCATCTCACGGGGGAGCTCTGGAGTTTGAGTAAAACACACATCAGAGCTGTCCCAACTGCGGTGGCTGAAGTTTTTGTTTTTGTTTTTTGTTTTTATTTTATTTTATTTTTGCTATCATTAATCTATAATTACATGAAGAACACTTTGTTTTTCTAACCTGCCAGCTTCCTGCCTTTCACTGGTTTCCAGCTGCTCCCTGGAGCACCAGCTCTCTGACACGCCGTGTACCCTGACAGGGGCCAAGCGTGCTCCTCAGGCAGAAAGCAGCTGGGGTTTGCAGTGCACAGTATGAGCTTATATTTCAAATCATTTGAAAGATACCGTAACACCAATTTGGTCTTGTAAAGTGAACAGTCATGGGTACTTGATACTGTGCTTAGTCCTAGAAAATTATTAATTGCAACAATATTTACACTGGAAACTGAGACTTAATTTGGTCATTTTGGAGTCATTAAACTACCAGGACAAAAAGGGATAGTTGATCCTACTATCAATTGTTAACGCTCATCCGCAGAGAAGAGTACCAAGGAATCCACAGGGTGAAACCTAGTTTCCCTCTTTCAGCAGGTCCAGTGTCAAATGTTCATAGAAGAGCATAGCACCCCACATAAATAAGACCTTTGAAAATTCAACTTTTCTGTCATTAAAGAGCCCTGGAAGTTGAAGTTCCTTTGAAGCCAAAGGGAATGTGCACTGGACAGAGGAAGTCATAAATACAAACCATGACTTAGGGTCTGTTATAGAAATGAACATGTAACCGCTACTATATTTTATTTTTGATTTTATTATAAATAATTCTAATATTCAGCTAATATTCATCTTCTCTCTCCTTTCTTTTACTACCTTATAAAGCATGTAGTGTTACTAACTTAATTATTTAGTCTATGTTAATAAATATTGAGATGGGACTGTGATAGAATTAGAAGAGGGGATGAATGTAAGCTCAGAAATCCTGCATCCATTAATTGATGAGATGTTGGCTTGAGCAATGTTTTCATATTAGGTGGTAACATTCTTCCCCACCCACCTCCCCCAGTTTGGAAGTACAAATACCTATTTGGGCAGTTGGAGAGAATTGTAGAGAGAGAGCAGGTGACAGTGGAAAAGCCCCCATTATAGCCGAAGGTATGGAAAGAATGTATGAGCTCAAGTGGACCCCCTCCTTCAGACCCAGTCATGCCTGGTGGGGGGCAATAACGTGGATGATGGAGTGGGTAGGGAGGAGGTTGAGGTAGTTGCCACAGAGCTTGAAGGTAGAAAATGCAAAATTGTTTCCTATCTATATCCTGCTAATTTCAGTTATGAAAAACACACACACAAAAAAATGGCATTCAGAGAAAGCCAGTCAAGGAGAGTATAAAAAGAAAAAAAGTCCAAGACTAAAATAAGAATTGATAAATTAAGGGATTATTGGGATTATGGATCCTCTTATCCACCCCCTTAAGCTTTTTAACATTGCCATATAATACATACACGTGCCAAGTTCCACGTACCAAAATTAACATACACATGTACTTTCCTGGTGTGACATCTATGCTAAAACGTGGGCTGTGTGTATGTGTGTGTGTATATATACATATAAATGTATACCTATAAAAGCCTAATGAATGTTTTATATACTCATATTCTCTAAAAATAAAGCCACAAGTCTATATGATGTATTAGAATTACATTTATATTTATAAAGTTCAGAAAAATCTTGAAGGCTCATGGATTCAGGATTCAGGGAGCAATGTTCTGCATATTTCTGTGTCTTGACAACCCCTTATGAGCTCAACTCTTGTCCTTTATGAAACCATCCCAAGGTGTACCCTTTGTTTGCATATCACATTAAAAGGAGTATGTGTGCCTTTAATTGGAGACTATCAGAAAGCACAAACTGTTAAAAGATAGGCCAAGCACCTACCTTGGCACTATCTTTGATGTGGTTAGAAAAAATTAAAATATCCATGGAGAAAAAGACAAGTCTGGAGCATTTTCAGCACAGGAAAACATATGTGTATGCTTTCTTTTCTGAGATTCCATCATAAATGAAGAAAGTGTCTTCTTGATTATTTATATAATTTCTGTGGGGCAATTTATTATGTTTTAGGGTTTGAGCCTGCATTTGGCTCTCTCTGACTCATATGACATTTTTAATGATCTCTCAGAAATGCCAGATCTTAAATGTACACAGTTACTAAAATGGAAGAAATCACAAATCAACTTGAAAGAAAGTTTGATTAACAGTAATATCCTAGAAGCTTATGAACTAGGAAACTTGCCACATGAAACAGATCTGAGTTTCCAATAAATTACTTTCCTCTTGGCCCATTTCAAACTAAAAGTTAGCATTTCTCTTATGTAAAATTAGGACACAATGAAATTTCCCTTCTGGAAACCCCAGAGAAGATATTACATTGGAAGTCAGGATTTGGGGAATTATTATCATATTTTAGAAGTTACCAAGACTAGCATACACTTCTGTACTGAATTATAGAGATTATCACAGCCATGGATATTCAAAACTACATTTTACTAAATTTTATGAAGTTAGATTCACCAAGAGAAAGCCATCCCACACAGTTTTAGTATTAAGCATACCCTAGCATTATTGAAATTATAATAGTATAATTTATAAGTGCTGAAAAATTGCTAGTTTTCTATTAACCATAATCCTCCATTCTCCCATTGATACTTTAATTTATTGTAGTAAAAACTACTACTATTTATAATATTCTTATGTTGAATTTAGTTGTGTTCAGTTTACTTTATTCCCACATACAGTGTTACTTACTCTGTGAGATTTGAGTGTCTATGAATTTCCTTATCAAGGCATCAGTAGTTTGGGTATAAAGACTGAGAGCATATCTCAGAGACTGAAGATCTGGGCTTTTCTCCAAGAAATTCTTTTTCAGGCCATTTCCTCCCGCATGAAAGTATTGCTAAAAAAAGGAAAAAAAAGTAATGTAAGCAGAGGCATTTAGGATGAGGTATTGGAGGAGGGATTTTATTGCTGTAATAGTGAAGCTCAAATGGAATGATTACGATATGGTCATTATAAGGTAGGTACAAAGAAATAGCCCTAGCACATCCCAGGCCCCAGATTCTTGAAGTTTAAGACTTTTCTTCTCATTTAAAACTTCAGTTAAGCAAATGGAATCATGAATATGCTGTGGTCACATTGCTTATAGAACGACAGGTTTGGATAACAACCAAGTTGGTTATTGACTTTGTTTCTAGAGCATGTGAGAAATATCTGGAGTTGTCAAAATTTCAAAAAGAAGGTAACTCCTGGTCACATACTTTCTAGGCACTAATTTGCGATTCTAGGCCAGATGCCTGGTGCTCCACCTTCCGCATGTTCTAACATGCGGATATAGACTATCCGCATAGTCTATATGCGGTGCAGATATAGACTATCATAAAGATGCAGAGGGGTCCTTAGAAATCCAACATCCCCTGAACCTTGTGTATGATGAATGTAATAAAATACAGAAGGTATTTTTTTGGCTGTTGGTATCCAATAAACTCAAAACATTACAATATTTATAGGTAAGACAATAGAGAAGACATATGTCTGTTGACAATAAATATGGACATTAAGGAAATGTTAGCATTTTTCACAGTGCAAGTATTATGTGCAGACTTCACTTTGGAAAGCAGAATATCTAGAAATATGTCATATACTAAGGATGTTTTCTCCTAACCATTTATAGATGGTAATGTATTCGTAGTATTAAAGTCAGATAAATTATTCTCTGTCTCTGTACTAACAGTGCTAAATTACACACATATTGCAACCTGGCTCACTATGATCTACGATTCTCAGAGAATGATGTATTTTGAAAAAGCTCAATAAATTACTCTGATACATTCTTCTAAATGGATATGTGTCATCCCTTTATCCCACTCTAAATATTTCTGAGGTAATACAATTCAATGAACTGAAAAACCTTAATTATCCTAATTTTCTTCCTTATTCAAGGGTAGATGCAGAAAAATATTCTGGTTATTTGTAAGCATCTGAATATACTCCCAAGGAGTGTAATATAGAGAAGATTCAGAATAGTAGGTAAGAGAAATACAAGCCTGAAAAAAGATTGCTACAATTACACCCTCCCCAAGGAAAAAGAGACCTACAGCCACTTAAAGTTCATTGATTGATTGATTCTAGGTGGGTCACAGTGAAAACACAAGTTGTGCCGAAAGCTGTCTATGACTATGAAGGGGAGGCATTGAAAAATGGGAAACACCTTTTCTTACTTTTTAAGAGATGACAAAGATGTAATACTTGAAATTCTTCTATGCCTTGGTCTTATAAAGATGTTAAAATATTTTCAAACATAGAAAGTATTTATTGAGGACTGAGTCCAGAATTGTTTTGGGTGCCTTGGTAGATGAAAAAGAAAAGATAGTTCCTGTCATCAGGAAGCATGATATTTATAGTGGCAAAATATTAAATGGATGTACTGAGAGGAGTACTTTCTTCTAGAGGAGTGCGGGGTGCTCTCTGGAGGTCTGTTCACATAATGAACCAAAAGCCATCAAATGAAATAACTCGCCCTGACTGTAAGAGGAACTGGACCTCTTACTTACAAACTGGACCAGGAATAGGGTGAGTCTCTGGCAGGAACACATTTTCCCTCTTGGTGCTTCTCAAAAGCCCAGTCTTAGCAAACCTGAGCATGAAGACTAGAAAATCACAATAAAAAGAAGTACAGGAAGAAACGCAGTGAAGATGTGCTGTTTCATGGGACTGTAGAGAGTTGTCAGAAGAAATTGTGAAAGACTTTGAAATGGACAAAAAAGATCAGTGGGTGTTCTGTCTAGTGTACCCATCTGGGTTATCTTGGCTTTTCACTGTCCTGAAGCTATATTTAAAACTCTGTAAATGGTAGAAAGTGAATAATAATGTAAATTACTCTCGTCTATACAAATGCAAATTAATTATTTCTGGTGGCATGCAACTGTTCTGTGGATAAATCTGTTTTGCCTCTATTTGTAAATTTACTTCTGCTTCCTTATTGCTTCTCCTGAATGTGTGGTTCCTGGAGTTCTCCACTGAGTTAGTTGTAAGATCTTACTGGTTCCCTCACTAATTGATGAGATAAATAACATTTTGACAAGTCTTATAACTGTATGACGGTCATGATTATACTCTTTTAAAAACTGTTCTTCTTTAACAGGGTTATATAAAGTAGCGTGGTGACAGCATTCATAAGGATGACCATAGTTTTTACTGTCTTAATTTGTGAGGGTAGGACCATGGGCTTTTGGCTCACCCTGCAGCCGCAGCAGTGGTGGGGTCTGTCTTCCTGCCTGTTATCTTTCCCTCTGTCCCTAGACAAATACTCATTAAACCTTTATCATGAGCCAGACATCATACTGCATACCAAGGATATGAAGCAAAATTGGCCCAGAAATTGTTCTCAAAGGGATTATAATCTGGTAGGAAATGTAACCAAAATATCAATGAATGACTGGAGGTGGCAAACAATCCTACTGGGGAAGGAGTCAGTAAAGGCATCTAAAGAGGTGACTTTATTTGTATTCATCAGTTTATTAACACTTGTATTTTTAACTTTAGCAGCTACAAGATAATTCACTACTGTGGAGAAGAGAATTCTACTAGGTAACCATGAGAAACTCTAGGGACTCCCAGCACTACTTCAGAAAAACTGGGGTAGTTGTAGTTCTCATAATATATTTATTTGGTATAGTTTTAAAAAATACACTATTTTACTACTGTTACTCTATCCTCATCTCTAAATTTATGCTGCCTGGACACCATAAAGTGCCTCTAGGCAGTAGAGGCCTAGAGAAATTAAGAGTTAAGAGATGACATTGTATTCTTTGAGATTCACAATGCTTGTTAACATATTAAAGGCTCTGAGACCCACTGTAGTAATGACATCTGTTTAACCTCTAATTAACATACCTGGTTCTTAAAATTATTTATCTATAGGACAGTCACCATACAGGACATCTGTTTATACTATTGGGGCACAAGTGTTCCATGAGATATGATTTAGGAAATCCTAGGATAGAAGAATGTGACTGTCTTTAACTGAGATCTTTCTGAGGTTCTCAAAGGCTTCATGGAAGAGAATTAGAGTTAGGCTATGAAGGCATTAACTATGTATTTGTTCTGGAAACCTTCTAAAAATTTTATAGGAAGATATGATTTTAATAGGTAGGATTTGTAGGCTTCTGGGACATGGGGGAGGAATCAAATAAGGTATGAGTTTGCTCTGGAGGAAAGCTTAAAGGGTATCCCTAGAATTTAGGTTAGGGTACTGAACTTCTTCCTTTTTAGCCATAGAGTGTTCTGAGTCATTCTACTAAAGCCTCTAACAGAAAATAGCAAGTGATTAGTAGAAGAATCGTAAGGGCAAAAATTACGCCTTTATCTTTTGACTGAAGATGTTTCAAGACAAACCCAGGACAGAAGGTAGCAATGTTAGAAGAGAAAGCAAGTTGCAAGATGCTGAGAATGAAAGCCTCCAGGTCAGTGAAGACAGATAAATAGCACATGCAACAGGCTCCTCACTTGAAAGAATAAAGGAGATGATTTCTATGGTTATGTGAATACAAACTTGATGAAAACGCTACTTTGCGGAAGCTTTTCACACATAGTGTTCAGAACCAGCGCGAGTTCTCCGGAGAAGGTGGGTCTGTTTATCTCACCAGCAGATAATCAGGAGAAAGGGGCACAGGCAGCTTGGCATTCAGGGATTTGGTTTTGTCTCTTTGCAAGTGCCCCCTAAAGGAACAGCAGAGTAGAATTTGAATTTTGCTGAGGCTTGGGTTTGAAGGATATAAATGTGGGGCTGATGCGTGGGAGGGCATGTCTTCACTGTTAAACAAAACCCACTACCCACAGCTGCAGCTTAGTTGATCTTCATTCATTATAGTAAGGATGACAGAGAAAAGGAAAATATTTTGTGGAGGAATTATGTGCTAGAGAGGAATTTGTGAATGTGGGTTTTAAAGTTTTCTGAATGCTGCTGTCATGAATATAAAAAGTATATTTATCTCCATTGGTTTTAAACAAACAAACAAAAACTGGGACTGTTTTATTGTTTTTTGGCAACCTGTAGCATAAGCCAAGAATCTCCAGTTTGATCTCTTCAGATGTTTAACTTAGACTGGTGCAAATTAGTGGAAAATAGTTGGCAAAATAAGTTGGAACAGGTCAAGGTCATTTCCATCTCCTTCAAGAAAGGAATTTTCAGTCAGAGAATGTGGGAGAAGTTGGCATAGTGCTTTGAAGGATGAGGATTTCAGCTAGATGACATTCTATCTACACTCGGCCCTGTCCTGGCTGATACTTGCACCATAGAAAGCATGTTTTTGACACTGGATGACAGAATCTGGATTCAGAAAGGTTGTGGCAGTCTGGGATGGTGGGTCAACATCTACAAATTGGGATGACAGAGAAAAGGAAAATACTTTTATTCATGCTAAAATGTTTACTGTAAAGTACAGAAGGAGGGTAACTTGGCTTTACATCAGTAAAATTTTAAAAGCTGTAAAGCTTTCTTTGCTCTCAATTTTAACATTATTTAATAAGTGATGGGGCAGCTATCAAAGCTAATGAAATCTGATCATGCATTAGTGGAGGTACACAGGTCAATTAAAGGGTGTGATAGAACAACATTCTGTGCTGGTTAGAACATATCTGGAATGTTAGGGTCATTCCTAATTCATTCTTAGGCTTCATCATTATAAGAAATATGAAAAAGTAGGGGGCATCCAGAGGTAAAGGACCAGAATTTTATAAAGTCTAGCAGGCATGCTATTCAGTAAATTGCTGCAGACGACGTGGGGCAGCATTTTAGTTTTCTCTGATATCTTAAAGGCTATCACATGGATAAGGATATTTGATTATAGTAGTTTCAAAAGAAAGGAGGATGATCAATGCATGGCTAGAGGTATGAGG